TCTCTCTCTCTCTCTCTCTCTCTCTCTCTCTCTCTCTCTCTCTCTCTCTGTGTGTGTGTGTGTGTGTGTGTGTGTGTGTGTGTGTGTGTTCATAAGAATGTCATAGTGCATGTGTGGAGATCAGAAGACTGCTCTAGGGGCTCGGTTCTCTCCTCACACTGTGATCCTGAGGGTGAAACTCAGGTCATCAGCCTAGCAGGACAAGCACCTTTGCCCGATGAGCCATCTGGAAGGCCCAGGAAGAGGGATCTTTTGTTGCAGTTTGGGAGGCTGGGAACCCAGGATGAAGAGGTCTGACCTGGTAGGTGTTCCTTGCTGCACTGTCCCGTGGCTAAAGGCACAAGGACACCATGCGGAGAGCAGCAGCTCAAGTCTGCAGCCTCGGCAACATGACGGCATCTCTCTATGCATGAGAATTCCAGCCTGAAACTGATCGCTGGCCATCAGGCCCCACCTGCCCACACAGATGGGACTTGGGATCAAGTCTCCAACATGTGATTTGGGGGAAGCACATTCAGATCATAGCAGAGACAGAAATAGAATGGTGTTAGCCAAATGTTCAGCCTGGGTGCTGAAGCGACCTACAGGGGTAGTGGGGTGGGGAGGGGTGGGGGTGATGGGGATTCTCTGCTTTAACTGCTGGCTAGACCACTGTGCTAACAAAAAAAAAAAAAAAAACCAAAACAAGAACCTTACAATAAGTGGAATTTTATGCAATGTGAATTAAATCTTCGTTTTAAACATACATAATATATAGATGAGCTTTTTATAATGTTATGATTTTTTTACTTAACATTTAAAATGTGTATTGAAAAATAAATTTTCTGAAAATTCTTCAATCTGTGACACTCTAATCATGGTTGACAACACCTGACTGCTTTGAAACACAGACATTGGGCTGGTTCTGCTGCCTCGTGTATCAGATTTGGCTATATCGCCTCTTGTAGGAAACACCAGAACCCGAGATATTTAGACTTTATCCCTAAACATTGATTCATCAGGTCTGGGGTGAGGCGTGTTCTTTAAACAGCTCCAAAGGTGATTCTACCGGGCAGCCAGCATTGCCCACATGGCAGAAGGTCACAGATGGTGAATCCCAGCTCTCGGACAAAAGTCAAGATGAAGCTGCCCAAGCTGGAGCTCAAAAGAGCTCCTTTACTAGACAGGGCTGTTTTATTAACTGGTCAAGGAGAACAAGAAGTAGAGATGGCAGGGAAGGGAAAGAAATAAGGAGGGGAGGGGTGGGGGAGAGGAGAGGAGGAGAAGAGATGGGAGAGGAGGGGAGGGAAAAGAAGGGAAGGGGCGGGGAGGGGGGGGGAGGGGAGGGGAGGGGAGGGAAGGGAAGGGAGAGAAGGACCAGGGAAAGCCCCAAACACATGGGAGTTCATAGACAGTGTTAACAGCACACTCCACATTGCTCACAATTATGGCCAGACTACTGATGGCTGAACTCTCATCTGAAACTCAGAGAGGTTGGTGGTTTACGAGAAACCATACGAACACAAACATTATGAAACGCACCAGGAGAAGAGTATAGCCACTCTGTTCTATTCTTTAATGAGTCCCTCTTGGCCTTATCGACAACTAATCTGCTTCCTCTCAGAAATGCCCTAACTGTCTCCCCCGAACACTTCCCCGACACTTACCTTGAACAGAAAGCTCTCTGCGTGGTAATGGATGGTGTGTATGTCCACCTCGCTTCCTATTCCCAGCAAATACCAGTTAGTCATTGTGTCTTCTGTCATTATGAGACCAGGAAGGTTTCCAAATATCTTGCCATTAATGGCTAAGAAGATGAAAATAAAATAGCCTCAGGTCAGTGGAGGACAGGTACCCTTTACCCCGATGGTAGAAATGGTTCAAGGTCTAGGCTATTCGTATTTTTATCTGCCAGACAGACAAGAACCGGCCTCCCTCACTTGTCAATGACCCTGCTGTTCTAGATCCAGAACTCAGATAACCACGAAATCTTTGCATGTAGGGATATGGGAAAGAAACATCTCAGTTTTTCTTTCAGAATTGCATCGCAAGTAACATGGTGCTTAGCATTTACTCCACAGGCCTCTTCGGGAAGCCAACTGCAAGGGTGTTAGTGAGAAACCACATTTAGATTTCTCTCATGCTATACACAAAGAAAGTAGCACATACATGTGTGTGCAAAACATATGGGTATGGAATGGATAAATCACACATACACACACACGCACACACATACACACACACACGTACACGCACATACACGCACATGCACATGCCGAATCCATTTGAATCTATGTCTACTGTGCTCTTAATGCTTCACTTTCTGATAACTAGAGGAAGCCCAACCGAGTCTGTAAAAAGAGCAGCAGGCAGGCTGCACAGGCCTCGCTGTGGGCAAAGCAGACTGAGCTTGCAGTGCTGCTTCTGCCCTCTGCCTCCTACCAGCCTTTTAGTCCGTGCACCATGACACAGCCAGGGAGCTCTATTTGCTGCAAGCCGAGAACACGCTGAGGGACAGCAGAGATGGGTGAGGAAGAGAGTGTGGATGGGGGACCCTGCCACGGAGTTCTACTCCGCAGAAACCTGGAGCAAGGTCCATCTTTGAATGTAGATCTTGGTGAGAGAGCGTGAGTGTGTCCTTGCACACACGTCACTCCTGCCCAAACTATCAAAAAGCAAGCTTCTTTAAGTGGTATCCAATTCAGTAACACACTCACATGAAATAAAATTTGTGAGTGACATTTCATGTACCAGAGAATTAATCCAAATCCTTAATTTTGACGACACAGAAGCTGTGATGGATTCACATTTAAACATCAATAAGTGACAATTTGATCTTTAAAAAAGTGACTTCTTCACAGCTGCCAGTCTCAGAGGCAGTTAAGACTGAACAAAAAGCACAGCGCCTCAGCGGTGAGGCTGGCTCACTCCTGAAAGTGCTTCAGAGGGCTTTCTGCAGGTGTCCCTGGGGGAGGGGCCTGGGTCTCAACAGTGGCCTGTCTCAGCAGCAGTCTCTCTTTAAATGCTCGCATACCGTGCATCTTGTTGCTTTCTTCAAAATCATCGGTGCGCCTGAAATCTCGTGGATCTTTGTTGAGATACTTCTTAATATTGTCATCCAGATACCATGATTCATTCTCATCAAACACCAGGAATAGCAGAGCAAACTCGTAATCCACGTCACTTCTCCTTCCCTTTTCATTCAACACCCCTTCTCGGCATGTGATGAGAGGCCCCATCAAGCCACTGTATGTATCCTGGAAGGATAAAATGACCAACGTAGATGAGAGATTAAATGTGACATCCTTGCCACCTGCCACCCTTGCAGCAAGAACACCACCTGCTCTCTCACCCTGGCTCAGTCCACCGCCAGCTGGAATTTGCATAACACAAGTACTCCATATATTTGAGATGCATAATTGAATCATCAAATAAGTTTCCCATGCTGCTTATGTACAAATACACATTTCCAAATGACCTGTGTGCTGATCTCCTGAACCCCAAGACATTAATTCCTAATATCTAAGGTGCTGCTGAGAGAGCAGACAGTGAAGAGAACGCCCAACTTTAACAACGATTACATTTTGCATAGGATATGACTCTGGTTTGGGCTTTGGTTTATGTCATTTGGTTAAATGCTACTGCTGTTTTACATACAACAGGTTCATAACTCAAAGTCGTCATTGTATCTTTGCTTTTTAATTCTCAGACTATTTATGATCCAAAGATTCTGCAGTTTTAGTTAATCTTGGGGTGTGCTTCTGTCCCTGAACCTCAACCATTCTTCTAACGAGCAGCCTGAGAGATGGCTCAGCCAGGAACGACCTGCCACCAAGCCTAATGACCCAAGCTTTATCCCTGGGACCCACAAAGTAGAAATAGAGAGCCTACTTCTTTGTTGTGCTCTGACCTTTATGTATGTGCTGTGGCATGCACATGTGTTTATGCACACATGCATAAATGTAATTAAAAGGAAAAGATTTCACACCTCCCAAAATCAAAAACAAAATCTATTGTGGGACACTTGTTTCCTTCCAAACTAGCATATTCTCACGTGACTCAAATATTCTTGGAGGTTCTATACTTGGAAACTAAGTAATATTTCATTTGTATATTCCTATACCAGCAGTTAGAAAACTTAAATTAGTTATAAAGCATTTTATACTAAGTATTTTTTTGCTTTGTGGGTTCTACTGCCTCTGTTGCACCCATGGGTGGTACTGGTGGGTAGATTCGGCTGGATTTGGCCAGTGGACTATTGTTTGAGAGCCTGTTCTATGTCATGTGCCCACAGAATGGGAGTGGCCTTAACCTTGCAACCAGCCCAGTTCCTCTCTCCACCTTACCTTCACAAAGTTTGCTGTTGAATAGTATACCCACGGGATACAATTAGGATCAGAGGGTCCAGGACCTGATCTCTTGGGGACATTCCACCTGTAAGTTTTTATTTCTCCTGACATTAAAGAGAAAATTGAAATTGGTTATTAGATTTACCTGAAGAACTACAGGCAGATCTTTATCTTATCAGTATACTAGGTTAGTCTCCATATTTTGAGTTTTTTTTTTTAAGGATTAATTGAAATAATGTAACTAAATACATGGAGGCAGTGTTTCATACTCCGGGTGGTTAAATGTTAATTTTTTTTAATTGCGTTTTTGTTTTCTGAAACCAAGTCTCCCTGTGTAGCACCGAGTAAAGACAGAGCAGCAGGACACAGGGGACAGAGAAGGGGACAAAGCCCTCAGTCCCGCGGTTCCAGGTAGAACAAAACCCACGGTGCAGGCCGGCTTAGCGGGGTCCACACTCCGTCTTCTGAGTGACAGCTCAAACAACAGAGTTACCAGCTAAAGAGCCAGGCTTAGGGATGTCTTAAACTCCATGACCTTTGAATATCCTTATCAATACCCCTCATAAAACCGCACACCACCTTTCGGTTTCATCTCCAAACTGAGAGGAAGTTCTCTACAGTGAGAGAACTGAGTAAGCAGGAGCATTGTAAATTGAATCTTTAAACTTTGCTTAATCTTTGAACCTGGTTGTAAATTACAACGTTTGAACAATGTGATGTCAGAGGCTACAAAACCATGTGCATAGCAAGGGCTAAGATACTTCAGTGCGATCCTACCTCCTGAGAAGCCCACCCCAACCCCTTGGGTGTGTGCGGTCCTCTTCTTAATAACTCTAATTTTGCTTCGTGCTAATGCCTGCTACACCCACATGGAGGCTTCTGGAAAGGACTCCTCCTTGAACTGCGTAGGCAACAGTGTCTCGTCAGGGGTAAGAGGTGAACAGGCTTCATCTCCCACTGTTGCTGACAGACTAAACTAGCCTCAGCCTTGAGGACTCTCACCTGACCCTCCTGAGTATTCATAGGCACACACCACCACACCCAGCTGACTTCTTTATGCTCTAAAAACAAGTATACACACCCACTATGAGTAGGCACCATATCTATACATCACTGGGGCTGACCCAGGGTCTTGCCCTGAGTCAATATCTTCATATTAACTAGCATGGTAGCCACACTGCAGAAGATTCACCGGGAAGCTCCTTGGACTCTCTACACCCCGTTCCCATCTGATCAGAACGACGAACCGTTGCCTTAGTGTATGTATACAAAGCAAACAGAAGTGATGTGTTCATGGAACTCCCTTTTCTTCTGCTGTAACAGTGGGCAGGGATACAGCGTCAGAGGTGATTTCTACGGTCTCTTTGAAGCCTCTTTGCCTTGTGAGGGACTAGACAAACAGCTGGATTTACCATCAGAAAGGCACGTGGCTGCAGGTGCTCTTTAACTTGGAATAATCTGTTGTTTGCCCAGTGGCAAGGGAAAGCGTTTCGGTAAATATTTGATGCGCGAATGGCTGTGGTAGTCTGAATGAGAAATGTCTAACCTTGTTCCAATTGGTGAGACTGTCTGGGGAGTTATGGGCCCTTCAGGAGGTGGGTCTTGCTGAGAAGCACATCTCTGGGAGTGGGCTTTGAGAGTTCATAGTCTCGCTCCACTTTCAGCTCTGTCACCTGTGTCTGAAGTGTGAATTCTCAACTTCCCATTCCAGATGCCTGAAGCCTCCTCCAACATTACGGAGCTTTTCCCTCTGGAACTGCGAGCCCAAATAAGCTTTCTCTTTTCTAGTGCTAAATCGCGGCATCAAACAGTAACAAACACAATGGCTCGATTTCAAAAGACCAAAATTGAGCGGGGCTGCTTACTTTTCAGTTTTAAAAATGTATTTGTTATTGCTGTATGTATGTATGTGATGTGTATGTACGTGTGTGTGTATGTACGTGATGATGTGTGTGAGAGTACAGGTGGTGTGTGTCACGGCACGCAATTTCAGGAAAAACAACTTTCAGGACTCAGCTCTTGCCTTCCCCTTTATTGAAGCTGGGGCTCTTGATGGCTCTGCTGTGGGACACGCTTGAGGCTGCCTGGCCTACAGCTTCTCACTGTTTCTCTTGCTGTAGGAGTGCAGGGATAATATACACTGAGTGCGGGGCTAACAGATGCACACGGAGTGCGGGGGTAACAGACGCAAACCACCGCATCTAACTTTTCACATGAGTTCCAGGGACTAAGCTCAGGTCAGACTCAACAGACACCTCACCAAGGGCAAGCATGTAATGAAAAGATAATGAAAATTATATGCCATCGGGGCACTGCCAGTTAAAGCAGTGAGTCAATATCACCATGTACCAGTTGGAATGACCAAAGGTTAAGACAGAAAATTCTGGTAAGGATATGGGTCAAGAAGGCCCTCTCATTCAAGGTGGGAACAGTGTACAGCCACTTCTGAAGACATTTTGACAATTTCTTTAAAACTACCATGTTCTCACCACACAACCCAGTGGATGTACTCCTTAGCATGTACTCAAAAAAGTTGAATATTTATGACCATTTGTAAACTTCATGTGAATATTTCAAAAAATTCTCCACCATTTAGACCTTTTTATAATCTATGTTCCTACTGAAATGGTTCATTGTATCTTCTTTCTCTCCCCTCAGCTCATCTTGGTCACTTCAGAGAAATGTGTGATGAAGGGATCAGGTCCTGGAGTCAAACAGAGTTACCATGGTCATTCACCCAAGGCCTGGTCTGTTTATTTGCTATTCTGTGCCTTCATCGTTGGTTGAATGGACATAGCCATGCATATTTCATGAGCTGTAAAGGTAAAACACTCCCATTTTAACAGATTCGGATAGGATGCATCTTCAAATTTGGAACATGTTATAGTTTAATTGAAAGTGCATTTTCTTTCCTTGTTTTAGTAACAGATAAGACAACAATGGACTCTATGATTAATGACTTCTGAACTGACGAAATGGTGTCTGCATTGTGGGATTTCTGTTAGGATGGATTCTGGGTATTTTGTTGTTTCTTTTCTGTTTCAAATGTTGAAAATGATCTCTGACCCAAGATATCGCTCAGTGGGTTCGCCATGGATGTTCCCACTGGATATATGAAGAGCCCATACCCTAGGATCTAGGCTGTGACTGAGACACACCTAAGACGTCATTCAAGACCCTCGGAGACCAGAAGAGGAGATCTCGGTGACCTACCTCATCAGGATGGAGCAGAGCTTGCGTGTGACTTACCTGGCTGTGTAACAGGCACTTCGAGACGCTTCCCACTGTCCGAGTCCTCCACACCCTGGGCTGTGATGGAGTAAGGCCGACTGGCTTTGTTCTTAAAGATGATGAGGATGGAGTCCCCCACCTCGGCATGGATCATTGGGCCTAAAGGCAAAACACAGCCAGGACATTACAAATATTATGTCATGCTTAGCAGTGGGGCCAACCTGAGTCCAAATTCTTCCTCTTTTCCTTAACAAAAGGCCTTGGGTGAATTGTGTAATCAGAATCTCAATTTTTCTCATCCGCAGAATGGGTTCACTAGGACTGCTCCCACAGGACTATTAAATGGCATTGCATAGGTATTGTAGAGTTTATTTCTCTCAACAAAGCCAAGTATTCAGGAAATTCTTAGCTTCCCACTGCTCTGGAGCACCAGTGTTTCGTTGTAAGCTGTGATCCTTTGGATGAGAAGTGTCCCCCGTAGTCTTGGTCTCCAGTTGGTGACACTATTTGGGAGGTTTAGTTGGTTTAAACTTGCTAGAGTATATCAGTAGGGATAGACTTTGAGATTAAAATCTACATATTTCCAGTTTGCTAGCTCTAAAAGTTTGCCTTGTGCCTGCTCTGAAAGATGCGAGCTCTCAGCTTCCTCTTCTTGCTGCCATCCTACTGTCTTGCCTCCCTGCCGTGCCAGGCCCCTAGCCCTCCGGAAGCAGAAGCACAGGTTGTCTTGATCATGATGTTTCAGAAGGAACAGAAGACTGATGAATGCTAATGCAGTGTGAAACCTTAAGGGATCAAAATCGCTTATGGTTTAGTAAATGGGGTTGATATTAATAATGAGCTCCCATGAAACGATAGGTAATAAAGGGACTTAGGGTAACAAAGCCATGTTGCATGTCTGGTGCTAACTCTTGACACATGGATATCATGTCATTGATGCCCGTCTGGTGCAGTCTCTCAATATGTAAGATCGCCTGACCAGTGGTATCTTCCTCATGTCAAGTGCCTTTTGCTTTGCAGTGCTAGGGAAACACCCCAACAAGATGCAGTGAGGCGCTCACAGTCATCACAGTCATCTTCAGACTCCCATTGCAGAAGTGTCTCCCACCTGAGCCCTAAGGTTACCGCTTGGGCCTTTGTATTCTACATTCATCCAGAGATATGCCCTTGGAGGGTTAATGGTGTGACAACACCCATTCATTTGTCACTGAAGCAAGCTATGTCTTTGATCCTGAGGAACACGGATAAGGTCATTAATACATCTAAAGTCTGTTGAACTATAGTTCTCTCCAGAAGCAAAAAGGAACTGCTATGTGTTTAAACAGTAAGCATGGATATGGCTCAGGCAGTTTGCACACAATAAAGTTATCACTCACTGCTGTTTACCAGTCCACTGCACAAGCCTGTGCACAAGCCTTCGTGGCTAAAAAAGTGTCTTCTGGCTGGCAGTGCAATGTGAGGGGACACAGAGCATGGTGGACAGAGGCGGACCTGCCACGGCCCCGCTGAGTTACTGGGAGTCCAGGCCACTCTAAGCTGCAAACAGCAAAGGAGCCTCGCTCTCCACTGGACGATGGCTGCGAACTTGCCCCTAATGTATGTCCCTCATTTCCCCCATACCAACCAAGCCAGGCTCTTGAGGAGCACGCCCAGCCCCCCTGCTAGCCCAACCCTTTTCTTTGGAGCTCTGAGAACACGCGCAGCTCCAATGAGTGACTCATGGATTACTCATGTGGAAATGGCAAACAAGCTGGTGAGACAGCCGAACACGGAGGTGTGGGGGAGGGGAGCACGTCATCAAGGCTAGGCTGGATAACAGCCATCATTGTGATATTGGAAACACTGTGTAACCCACACTCGCAAAGTTACCTGTGGTGTAAAAAGCAGAGAAGTATTTCCCAAGTCCTCTAATTTAGTCTTCTGCCTTAAAAATATTCTTTTCAGATGGGGTGGGTCTAATGTCTTCCAGGTGCGGGGAAACAGGGAAGGAAGCTGGAAGGGCATTGTTGATGGCCAGTCACACAGCTGGGGCATCGGCCAGCCCAGAGTTTGTGCTTACACATGGTCGGTTCTGCAGTCCATAGGTCAGGTTGAGACCTGTCACTCCTGGCACCCAACACACAAGGGGGCTCCTTTTGGCTCATGCTCAGCTTTTTTCTTATTGTCTTTATTGAGTTATACATTTTTCTCTGCTCCCCTACCTTCCTCTCCCCTCCCCTTCTACCCACTTCCATGATCCCATGCTCCCAGTTTACTCAGGAGATCTTGTCTTTTTCTACTTCCCATGTAGATTAGATCCATGTATGTCTCTCTACCCTAGTCCACTTTGTTGTCTAGGTTCTCTGGGGTTGTGAATTGTAAGCTGCTTTTTCTTTGATTTATGTCTAAAAGCCATTTATAAGTGAGTACATGTGATAATTGTCTTTCTGGGTCTGGGTTATCTCACTCAATATGATGTTTTCTAGATCCATCTATTTGCCTGCAAATTTTAATATTTTTTTCTGCTGTGTAGTACTCCATTGTGTAAATGTACCACATTTTCCTTATCCATTCTTTGGTCAAGGGGCATTTAGGTTGTTTCCAGGTTCTGGCTATGGCAAACAACGCTGCTATGAACATAGTTGGGCATATGTCCTTGTGGTATGATTGAGCACTCTTTGGGTATATACCTAAAAGTGATATTGCTGGGTCTTGAGGAAGGTTGTTTCCTAATTTTCTGAGATATCACCACACTGATCCAAAGGGGCTGTACCAGCTTGCAGTCCCACCAGCAATGCAGGAGTGTTCCCTTTACCCCACATCCTCCCCAGCATAAGTTGTCATCAGTGTTTTTGATCTTGGCCATTCCTACAGGTGTAAGATGGAATCTCAGAGTTGTTTTGATTTGCATTTCTCCGATGACTAAGGATGTTAACCATTTCCTTATGTGCCTTTCAGCCATTTTAGATTCCTCTCTTGAGAGTTCTCTGTTTAGGTCTGTACTCCACTTTCTTTATTGGATTATTTGTTCTTTTGATGACCAATTTCTTGAGTTCTTTGTATATTTTGGAGATCAGACCTCTGTCTGATGTGGGGTTAGTGAAGATCTTTTCCCATTCTGTAGGCTTCTGTTTTGTCTTGTTGACCACGTCCTTTGTTTTACAGAAGCTTCTCAGTTTCAGGAAGTCCCATTTATTAATTGTTTCTCTCAGTGTCTGTGCTGCTGGGGTTATATTTCGGAAGTGGTCTCCTGTGCCAATATATACAAATGTACTTCCCACTTTCTCTTCTAGGCTTATGTTCGGTTTTAGAGTGTGTTCTGTGTCACTGTGCACACTGAGCCAGGACCTTGAGGAAGTCTTGTAGACACTCTGCCCAAAGTCCTAAGTCATCAAACTATTTATGAAAATTTCTCACCTCCGCGGAGAGGTGGGAAAGGGGCTCAAGAGCATGAGACACCTGACGACAGGGATCCCAAGGTGTGTGTGTGTGTGTGTGTGTGTGTGTGTGAAAGGTGGGGTTGGGGGTGGAGAGACATGCCCACCCTCGGAGCTGATAGCGCCTGGCTGAAATTGCCTTACCCAGGAGTTGTAGGTGGTCCTCTCTCGGTGGCCTGGCTTTAATCTCCACAAATTCTCCATTTGTGTATTCCCTGTAAACCACCTTCTTGTACTGAGAGCCGATCCAGTTTTCAGTGTGGTTCATAAATATGTCCCCATGTCTGCAAAGAAATCAAGATCGTCAGAAGGCCGGAAGACCAAGAGTGCCTCTGCTATCTGCAGGGCTCTGGGGTGGTGCTCCCCAAACCCAACTGGTCTCCCCGGGGAGCTGGCCTTTGCAACCCCTCTGAGATCAGGGCTAGCAATGGCACCTCAGAGCTCCTCATGTCCTCAACCTAGCATGGACCCATGGCCACCCTTGGAAACCATCATTGTCACCCGCAGCATGGCTCTCCACTAGGCTAACCTTAGAGAATCCTAATGCACAACAGAGGCTGTGCTTCTCTGGCTGGTACTAGGTGAGCACACACACAAACACACACACACACACCCTCCTCACAGAAAACACACTCACACAATACCCTCCTCACAGAAAACATACACAACAAACACTCACACACACACCCTCTTCACAGAAAACACACTCACACAATAAATACACACACACCCTCTTCACAGAAAACACACTCACACATGCACCCTCCTCACAGAAAACACACTTGCACATACACACAGACACGTGTACACGCATGTGCCTGCCTCAAATCTAAAACCCTCCATGTTCCATGACTGCCATTCTTCCACTCTGAACCCTGCAAGCCTGAAGAGTGGGTACTGTAAACATACAAGTGCATAGCTCTTGTTATTTTCGTGTTCTAGTCACCCATCAAACAGTGGGTTTTGTGTGCAGCTGTTCGGGACACATTTAGCAGATGTCATGGTGTGCTAACACCGACCTCAGCTCACAGCGCTGTACTCAGCCTGAAGGAAGCTGCTCTGGTTCTTTTATCCTCTCCATAAACATATCCCAGCCCTGTTGTGCTTGGGGACCCGAGACAGGGCTTCCATACCCTGCTCTTCCCAACAGTGAACCCCATAAGGCACACAAATGCGCACACAGTGCAACGAAATGGGCCAAGAGCACTTGCGCACAGTGGCAGGGCTGAGACAGGACTCAGATCTGCTTCAGGAGCTACTGACTCCACAGTGTGCGCTGAGCCTCTAATGCTTTCACAGCTCTTCAGATATCTTCACATTTTCACGGGAACCTCAAGGGTTTCTGAGTGATTTGAGAATACTCTGGGGTCGCGCTCCCTTCCAACGTGTCCCCTGGACCGTCCTGGAGAAGCGGCCTTTTACACCACTCTGGGAGTGGGGCCCGCCAAACAGACTGTAACAAGTAGGCACAATATTAAGGACAAGCTCTATGTGTCTGTCACCGAGGTAAATCGCAAAGGATGGAGAAGAAAACTCAGACACAGCTGGGGGTCATGGCACGACTATAATCCCATCCACTTGGGAGCGGGGCTGAGGCAGAAGGATGGCTAGTTTAAGACCAGACTGGGCTACACAGTAAGATATTGTCCCCAAGAAAACAAAAATCACTTTCACTTCCAGACAGGGTGAGTGTAATGTCCTTCCACGTCTCCCAAATCAGTCACCTGTGTTCTAATGCAAAAACAGCACCGCATGGCTCTCCCTCCACCTACACAGCCTCCATTCTACTCTTCTCTCTGCACACAGAGTGCTCCCCAGCTCTAAGGCTGACCCGCTCTTCCTCATGGAAACCTCTCAGTGACCCTCTCTGCAAACCTTCTCAGCTTGGCTCATGCCCTATACTATCTGTTTTCCCTTCGTTCTGAACCTGACTGGCTGTTCCTTCCCACCACCAGACACTCTGTCATCCTAAACATTGGCTCTCTTGACCATGGTGAGCCCTCCACTCATCCTGCTCTGTCGAGAACTAGTCCCCTCTGCTTGCAGTGCCTTATTCCACATCTCATTTCAAAGACCACTTCCTCTGAGAGCCTCCCCCATCTCACCCCCCTCCAGATGGGACTGTGTTCCACTGTGAGTTCTCACTAAAGCTCCCCTCGGTTAGAGATTATGTTCCTCCCTGCTTGTTCCAGCCTTATCCTTGGGGACCACATATTCAGTGTGGGAAAGCCCCAGTCTTTGCTCCACATGGTTTCACCAGCATTTAGCACAGAGGGTATTCAATAGATACATACAATAGCACCTCTGCCCTGACTACACTTATTGCAAGAGGAGAGAGCCTACTTTTACAGTCAGCGGGTCTTAGCTGAGCTTGTGACCTGCACAGACTCCGCTTGCTATTCCCCAGCTCTCCTCTGCTGCAAAAGGCAGCAGAAATTGCTGTGTGAGAACTCTGTCAAAGCTGATGCTGGGAAGGTGCTGCCCGAATGAGTCAAGTGTGCTGTGAGGCCATCATGACGAATTGCCTATAAAAGTTTTAGCAGATACCTGGTGTATAATTATTGTTCAGTAGATGTTCATTATGGTGACTCCTGGGATTGCTAAATTATACACACACTGGTCTTCAAGCCCAAGGGTGCTAGCACCATAACTTCATTTTCTTTAACAATTTAATCTACTTTTTTTTCAGATTTCCTCTTTTTGCACAAATCTGATGTAGAGTTGTGCTGATGGGTCCATGTATTACCTTTCTGGAATTTTGATACCTTCCCCACACACTCTAAAGAAACCCCTAATGGGTCATGGGAGAGGGTAGAAGGGGAGGGGAAGGAGGGGAGGAAAGGGGGGGGAGCAGAGAAAAATGTCTAACTCAAAAAAAAAAGAAAGAAAAGAAAAGAAAAGAAAAAAAACCCTAATGAAAAAATTCAGGTACTGAGAGGGTCTGTGCTGATCAGGACAGCAGCAATAAATGTCTCTGAGATGATTTGTGCCAGGAACAGGGTAAAAAATAACAGCCTTGGGGCAAAATCAGATGTGTAAGTCAGAAGTGTGCCCAGATACACGTGCGAGCTTCTCCAGAGGCCGAGGCAGGGGGTCAGAAATTGAATTCCGACCCAAGTAACTCAGTGAGCTCTGGTCTCTAACAAGCAGCTGCTGACCTCAGCGGCAGAGTGCTTATGTAGCACGCAGGAGCCTCAGTTTGATCCCCAGTACTAAAACAACCATAGGCACCAAAGCTGGGGTGGAGAGAACCTGGTCTCCCGGCTCCTATCATTGGAGACACTGTGGATGTCCACCTCAAGGGTGCGCACAGGCCAGCATGTGTGGGGTCAGAGGAGGACGACTTTGGGGAGCTGGTTGTCTCCCTCCACTGTGGGATGTGGAGACTGAACACAGGTCATCAGGCTTGGGCAGCAAGCTCCTTGCCTACTGAGCCATTTTGCTGTCCCTGGGCTTCGTATAAACTGATAGAACTACAGAATTTGGTACACTTTGAATGTGTGGCGGTGTCCGTACCCTCACTTACTTTCATTGGCTTATGGTCAATAACCAGAGCAGAGGGAAATTAATTCATTCTACCCATCTTTCCCACCAGCAGTCTCTTGTTTCTCTATGCCTTCAGCCCAGAGTCCCAGAGCCCCAGAGCCCGGAAGCTAGACGTCCCTGCTCCTTTAGATCGACTGGCGCTTCAAAAATAAGTTTGTGAAGACTGCGGTGACTAACAGCAGCCTCTTAGTGAAATAACTGCTTTAGAAACGGCCAAGTTAGTTTTCATTTTCCACAGAAAGGACACCAGTGTTTAACTTGTACTGGCAACACAAGTTGTCCCAAAGAAACATGTCTAGATTAGCAAATTATTTGTGAATAATTGAGTAGATTTCAAACGCTCCTGCCCTCAGGGCAAACCATCTCCAAAGTCACTTTGATTTTTTTTTTCCATTACAGCTGCTCTTACCCAAAACAATGGCTGACAAGAAACAAAAGAAACTGAAGTGTTGAGCTTCGAGAAAGCAGTGCTAGAGGTGTTAGTGTACTGCAGGCGTGAAGGGTTTGTGGCGTGAAGGCAGTGGGAGGTAATGAGAGCCTGGGATGGATGCTAAGAGCAGGAGAGGCCGTGTGTTATGTCGAAGAGAAGCAATTTTCCCTGGTACATCTGCATTCAGCTCCTGATCTGCCAAAGGTTACCTGGATGCTCCGCTCTTCCCAGCGAGGCTCCCTCATCTCTGTGCCAGGGCAGTAGGAAGTGGTAGAGCAGACGTGGTAAGGTTGGGGAAAGTCGGCACTCTGTGCTGGATGCCTTCCTGGTGCCCAGAGACCCCAGTGTGCCCCGAGGAACTTGGTCCCGAGCTCCAGAGTAAGCACAGTGGAGAACCAAGACCTTAGTGTGATCCTGGCTGTTACCACTCCAACAAAGGGCCAGTCTTTCCGATTTTCTAGGTAGCTTGGAAATCTGCTCTTCCCGCCCTGGCTCAGGAATCTCTCTCAAGGCAATAGCCTTAGATCATCCTTGGATGTCCCCATCGGGATCCATGTTTGCCAGAAGCATTTCTGCTGCTCCCCTCCCCTGTACTACTGGGTCTACAGAGGCCTTTCTTCTCTCCTGGATTCCACACACCATCTCTCCCTCATCTGGTTAATTTTTCTTCCCTGTCCCACTATTGCTGCGGGTCCCACTTTTTCTCTGAGCACGCCCATCTGCATTCTCATTCAAAACTCTATCCATCCAACCGTTGGTCCATCCTCCTCAGTCATGAAGCAGACCAATCTAGGGGACTAGGCGAGGCACAGGAACCCACTATGGTGCCCTCAGGGTGACCTCTGAACTACGTTCAGGTGAGGAGACAGAAGTGTCGCTAATTTTCTGCACTCATAAGGAATAGTCTCTGCCTGCAGAACTGTGCCCAGAAAGCCCGGCCGCTTGGTTTCCATAGGTGCTAAGGCCCACAGAGCATGCGCATTCCCACCGAAGAGCCGTGGCTTTGCCCATGGTACCTTTCCCCTCCAGCGTCCAAGTGCTGCTTTTCGAACTCCCAGTTTTTGTTAGGGGCATAATCCCATTCTACCTCTTCAGCGGCGATGAAAAAGGTTCTTAGCATCCCGTAGGGTGGCTCAGAAGGGTCCCTGTTGCCACAGCTGCTGACCTCATAGATCTGACCCATGCCTCTCACGAAATGGTGCAAGGTGGAACAGAACACCTTGAAAATACCTGCAGGAGAAAAGACGTGGCGTGGTGCCCACGACTTGGTATTTCCGGTGGTGGGGATTCTACCAAATTTATGCATCTTATCCCAACATCAAAAACCAGGAATGCAGACGTTTAGAATACCAACCTCACGGTATCTTTTACGGCATACCTCATGAGGAATAAATTACTTTTACTATAATATTTTTGAGGGAAATATTACTTAAAATTTATTTGTAGTAAGGAAAATCAGAATATTGTTGCCGAGAAAGGGCTTCTCTGCACCATTCCTGTTGTACACACCTGCTTACAGTCGCTTCTGGAAAACTACTGATCCTTACGACTCTCAGCCCAGCCCAGTTTATAGAGAACTCATTACCTATGAGATGAAAGACCTAGACAACGTTCAAATTAGGCCATGGTTAAGATTCTGCCCTGAAGGATTTCGTGAATTATAAAGCAAGTAAGCATGAAAGTCAAATGGATTACTCCACTACAGCCTGGAGCCAGGGAGGGCTCGTGTATATCATGATGGGTGGAGTAGGAGGAGGAAAGGACATGATCAGCTGTAGTTCTCTATAGAGTACCAACCATGATGTCTGGCTGAGATTTATGTAATTTAAAAACTGGATTTCTAGACATGTTGGCATCTGAGATGTGTGTGTGTATGTGTGTATTTAGAATATACACATATTCAAATTAAACTCACCATACAATTATGTGAAATGAAATCATGGATGATCTTAACTATCAATAAAATTGTTGGCTCAATCTTCCCATTCTCTAACAGACTGTTCTTAGAGGCAACTGACTAGTGTCTATAACTACCTATAGCATACAGAGAGAGCTCGCTCTTGCTCCATAGGTAGCTGGTGTCTAAATAATGACTGTCATTTCTGGGGGAGCAGACTTGGTTAGTTCAGTGGGTCCGTTTCACCCACTTTGAACAGAATCCCAATAAAGCATAGTAAATACAAAAGGTATTATTAGTATTATAGACACTAGTAACATCTTTTTAAAACCATAGAGAGGACACCCGGGAAAGACCTCTCTCTACACCATAGAGAGGACACCCGGGAAAGACCTCTCTCTACACCATAGAGAGGACACCCGGGAAAGACTTCTCTCTATAAAGACTTTTATCCCAACAGAACACAATCAAGAGTTCATTGTGACTTCTCAACAATGGAGCCATTAAATTCTCCAGGAGCGAAGGAAAACAGTGTGAGTAGCTATCTACTGTCTGCTCTACCCATGCCTCTCTCTCTCTCTCTCTCTCTGAGTGGGTGTGTGTGCGCGCGCGCGCGCGCGTGTGTGTGTGTGTGTGTGTGTGTGTGTGTGTGTGTGTGTGCATGTGTAAGAGTGCATGTGCAGGATGCGGTAGTTTGAAAGAAAATGGCCCCATAGGGAATGGCACTATTAGGAGGTGTGGCCTTGTTGGAGGAAGTGTGTCACTGTGGGGATGGGCTTTGAGGTCTTTTTCCGCTCAAGCTACACTCAGTGTAGCACACAGTTTCTTCTGCTGTCTACAGATCAAGATGTAGAACTACCAGCTCCCTCTCTGCCTTATGTCCACCATGTTTCCTGCCAAGATGATAATGGATAAGCCTCTGAAACTGTAAGCCACCCCAACTAGGTATTTCCTTTATAAAAAGTTGCCTCGGTCCTGGTGTCTCTTCATAGCAATAGGAACCCTAACTAAGACAGAGGCCAAAGGACCACCTGGACTGTCTTTCCTTGAGAGCCATCTACCTCAGTTTTGAAACAACGTCTTTCATTGGCTGAGACGCAACCATTAGGCAAGGCTGGCCAACCAGCAAGCCTCAGGAATGTCCCTGTTCCCACTGCTGAAGCAATAGAATGACAAGCGTGTGTCGGCACATACGGTTTACCTGCATGGTCCGGCTGCATGAATGCCGTGGTGGCCATGTGGGGAAACAGAGCCAGGGAGTCACGATGTGTCCCTCGTAGATGGATGGTGTTGCCTTGAAAATAAACTCCGTGCATGTCTGTGTCGGTGCCCATCCCAATCAAGTGCCAAGAGACTCTGTCCTTCTTGCACATGCTCAGTCCTGGCTGGCTGCCATACATGTAGCCGTTGATAGCTACATGGAAGGAAGAAGACAGTGAGCGCCTATTGTGGAATAGTAGGTTAATGTGTGTTACATTCATTTGTGCTGTGGAATATTGTTTAATGATGCAAAGGTGTGTTGCATTCTTTTATGTTGCTTTTGTTTAACTCTATAAAACTGTGTTCCTTTGCCTGCCTAAACACCCGATTGCTCTAATAGAGAGCTGAATGGTCAATAGCTAGGTAGGAGAGGGATAGGTGTGGCTGCCCGGCAGAGAGAATAAATAGGAGGAGAAATCTAGACTTGAAGGAGAAGAGAAAGGAACAAGAAAAGGAGAAGGAGGGGAGGATGCCAGGGGCCACACAGCCACTCAGCCACAGAGTAAGAAGGGAACAAAGGTATATAGAATAAAGAAAAGTAAAAATCCTGGAGGAAAAATGTAGTTAAAGAGAAAATGGATAATTTAAACTAGAAAAGCTAGCTAGAAACAAGCCAAGCTAAGGTCAGGCATTCATAAGTAAGAATAAGTCTCCATGTATTTATCTGGGAGCTGGGTGTCAGGCCCCCAAAGAGTAAAACCAACTACGAGGGCCCATTGTAATTTTGTAGCCATATTGAAAACACTGTCTCCCAAAGCAATTATCAGTGGGTTTGAGGGAGAATTACAAGCATATGAACAGTATATAAGATCCTTGTTACTAGAGGATGAATGTTACTAGAAAAAAACCCACATGGTGTGTAGAATTAACAATAAATCTGAAAATATACTAAATTTATAAAATTTAGCAATACATATTCTAAGACAGTAATCAGGTCTGTTTGTTCTTATGACAAAACTGCCTGATAGGATATTGGAAAGCCTTTCAGTTAACATTCTATTTGTGTATGTTGGAAGAGCATCATCCCTATAAGAATGTCATTTGAGGGGACTGGAGAGATGGCTCGGTGGTTAAGAGCACCAGTTGCTCCCCCAGAGGACCCAGGTTCAATTCTCAGCACCCACAGGGTGATACAAACATCTGTAAGTCTAGTTCCAGGGAATTTGACTCCCTCTTCTGCCTTCCATAGACCACATGGTGCATAAGCAAACATGAAGGCAAAACATCCATTTGCATAATAAAATAATTTTCAAAAAATATCAGTTGACTTCCCCATCTTCTCATATTCCTCTAGAAAAAATCTTGATAAAAAAATTATTTTCTTTGAGGTTCTTATCCTGTTGTCTTTGCCAAGTGACTTCTTCCATTATTGACGTATTGAATTCAATTAATGTAATTGAGACAGAGTCTCATGTGTCAATGACTTTGCATTTGCTTCTAGAATAAGTCATCAGATGTTCATTTACAGAGTTCCTAGATCCTGAGAAATCCGGAAGCATTTCAGTAAACTGACATTGCATTTGCAGATATGATCAGTAGACAGATTGGGGGTGTTAGGAAGAGTTGTGTTTCTGGAAGGTTAGAACTTGACTAAGGAAGCTTGTGTCTAAGGGTCACTTGTCTACCCTGCAGAGAAAGTGAGAGGTCTAACAGCGATGGTCTTCTCATATAATCTTGTGTACAAAATGTGTCTGTCGTTTGAACCAGCAAAGTTTACCAGGTGCACTTAAATATAGAATTACCAGTAAAAGAAGCCCCCAGGGCGACTAAAAGGAACATATTTTTAAAGAGACATTCATAATACTTTCACCAGTAAACTATCTAAACCTTGTCTACAAAATTTGAAAGAGTGTTATCATGAAGTTGGGTACCAAGCAATCTAGCTCTTGAATGAGCTGGAAGAGAATCTTTTCTGACTCTAGACATGGATTTAATGCTTCTGTTTCTAGACCTTTCATTCATTCATCAAATACCATTTTTCAAATGGTATTTTATACAGTTTATAAAACACACACATCTCATGGCAGGGCACCATAAGAAGCCCTTAATCCTTATTTTTTGGAGGGGAGGGTTCATTTCCCTGCCATGCAAACACGATTGGAGCTAGAACCCAGCATATAGCTGACACGGAATTTGAGCCTAGAAACCTTACTTCCTCTGAAGTGTGCTCTTTGATGACGTGTGAACATGGTGTCACATGGTCAAACTACACTGGGGCTGGATTTGATGTGGCCCATTAGCTGTGTTATATGCCGAGCATCTCTGAGGATACCTTTCTTTTAAAGTTTTTTCCTCGGCAGCATGACCAGGTCCTTATCATAGCTTAGTCTCTCCCTTTTATTATCAACTGAAAAAATATAATGATGCATGCCTGTAATCCCAGCACTTAGGAGATGGAGGCAGAGGGATCAGGTGTTCAATGTTTGAGGCCAGGCTGGGATACAAGAGTCCCTGACTCACAAACCAGCAAACAAACAAACATCAGAAACAAATTCCATGTCCAGTTATAGAAAAACTATTTTGGAAGCTGATGCTGAAGGTCATTGCTCCCTGAATTCCACAGGTCTAAGAGGTGTGTGTTTCTGTTGGACCTGAGCACCGGGCACTATGGGACCCTGAGACCTGATTGCTGTGGGTTATTGTAACCTTGGGCTTTGGGAACTTCCTGAGCCATGGAGGGATCTGAGAGTCTATCCATGCATTCTTCTCTATTGTTCTAAAAGGTAATAAAAATGTTATGCTTGGAGCTGCTATGGGAGACCTCACAGCCGCACACACTGAAATGTTAGTGTGCTAGTGAGCTGCTTGCTCTTAGGTTCTGGTGTCTGGCTGAGGCCGATAAAATCCTCTATTAGTCACAATCACTGGAGGCTTGCCATTGTGACATAAAAAGAATTAAGTCATTTCTCCTGAATTAAGATGAGGTGTTTGAGGAATTTAATCCCGCAGCAGTCGCTCATCGTAACTGACGACAAACACTCAGTGCGCTCATTCTCCTGATCTCCTGTTAAAGGCAGCACGAAGCTTTAGAAGTGTCAGACTCACAGCATCTCTGGGAGCTCATGAAGCTGAAGGCGTGAAATGATTTACCTCCTGACCACGAGCAATACCAAAGACACCAAAGGTAGGAAGTTGGGCGGACTCAGCATACTTCCCAGCATGCCTCAGCCTTCCGTACCGTGCATCCTGTTGGACTTCACAAACTCCTTGTCTTCCTTGTTGACACTGAAGGGGCGCCAAGTAAACTTCTGGATGTTTTCATCGAGATACCCGCTGAGATTCTCATCAAAGACTGTGAACAGCAGGTAAAATTCCTTGTCTATTCCTTTCTAGAGAAAATGAAGAAACCAAGACATACAATGCACAGCTTGAAGAGTCCTAAAATTCACACAAAGTGGGTATCCACATTAGCCACAGACCCGCCCGTCATTTCCTAAGTCAGGACTCTGAGTGAGGTCTGTCTGTTGCTGTCCTCATGTCTAACGTGTGCTGTCAAACCGTTCTCTATCCTGTTGCTTGCCTCACAGCAATCCTTAGCAATGGTATCCGGTTGCCTCTCTCTCCATGACGCTATGTTAGCTCAATGCCCCCCTTCCCACCCGCCTGCTCTTCCTGTAGTCTACACATTTCTCTCATTGTGTGCTGAGGAGAGAGAGCCTGTGAGGGGGAGGAAGAGTGAGAGGGAAGAAGTTGGGGAGGGAAATAGGAAAGGAGGTGGGGAGGAAGGAACGGACAGAAGGTGGAATTGGGAGTTTAATTGACTGACTGTGTGGAGGGCAATGATGGTCTGAATCAACCTTATGTCACCTGACCATAGTCTGTGACCCACCTTCAGCTCTGCAAGAATTAGTGACTGACAACTGACTGGAAGGAAATCCTCCTCTCTAAGCCCCTCCCTCTCTCTGCCTGCCTAGAAGAATTGTGACCAGGTTTTAGTCTACAGAGAGACTGGCATATTTTCTAAGGTACCTTTTACACTATAAATGACTTCGCTTGTTCGTTTGCCTTTTGAAACAGCGTTTCTTTGTGTAAAAGCCCTGACTGTCCTAGAACTAGCTCTATGGACCAGGCTGGCCTTGAACTCACAGAGATTCACTTGCCTCTGCCTCCCGAATGCTGGGATTAAAGGCATGTGCCACCACTACTCAGTGTTACAAATGATTTTATCTTGAGACAAGTGGTTTTATTTATTAAGTAAACATCGGGTATTTTACTGTTTTTTTTCTTGTTGTTTGTTTTTAATCAATCTTGAGTAAGTAGTCTTACTATGAATAATATTTGACTTAGCAACATTCTTTGAAGACTATGAGGAATTGTCAAAGTTTTCCTTGAGTAGATGCAACAGAAAGAAAAAGAAAGAAAGAAAATCAGAACTACTTTACAAGTAGTTTCTGTCTCTTTGACTCAAGACTTGCCCAACAGTGATAAGCAGGTTAGTGTACTTGGGATAGGAACGGTTAGATGCTTCCAAGTCCCCAATTCTAATGACCTTCAGATTTACTAGCTCTTTGGGCCTCTGTTTCTTCACCTTTGAAATGCAAACCACCACAGGGCACTGTCTTCTCTTGCTGTTGAGGCACAGGGCACACACTCACTGGGTTTCACAGAACAGCTTCCTACAGCTGCTTCATCATAGAGGTAACTGGCAATCCAAGACAGACCAAGAGCTTTCTGTCCTAGATAAACAGCCCAGATATACAGTCATTGAGCCCCTGTAGGAGGCCTATACAATGCCAGGTACTGTAAGATCCAGCACTTAAGTGAATTAGCCTGCTGCTTCTGATTGGGAGGTGATTGGTGAAAGGAGTGGTTGAGTGAGCAGAGTTTCCACGTTTCATAAGTGAGTTTAAATTGTGTAACTGCAACTTGAAACCCTAAGTTTGGCCCTGTCCATCCATACATCCACCCAAACCCTGGAGCAGGGTCATACAAGAAGCTGTCTATGTGCCTTCTCTTCCTTTCAGCCGCCATGATTGATTTCCAGTGACTTACAGCAACCCTCAGCTTTGACACAGTCTAGAATCACCTGGAGATTCTGATTGGATTCTGATTGGTGTGGAATGGTTGGATAAAGGAAGCCGGAAATGCTCACGGATGTGGCCAAGTCAGAGACCTCACACAGCAAGAAGGATCCCAATCACAGACCCTTATAGAGTTCTTGAAGAGTCAAGAATTAAGGCAACAGACAGCTCAGAATGCCAGCCAAATATCAACCACACCACAAACAGAAATGCTAATTAAACAAACCCTCAAAAGCACAGAAGTCAGTTTCAGAAGGCAATGCTTTGTTACCGGCCATTGCTGCTCAGTCTCCAGCTACACTGCCAGTCCTTCCTGTCTACCGGCATGGGAAGAGTGTGGTGACACTGGTGGCCTACCTGTGTCCCATCAGCATTGAGGGCACCCTTTTTACAGACCAGCAAAGGTCCCACGAGCCCAGCACTGGTGTCCTTGATTGGCTGGACTGCTGAGAAGTAAAGATAGGTCAGGCAGGGGGGATCCTCATCTGTCGGACTGACGCTCTCCGGCACTGTCCATTTGTAGGTGAAGGTTTCGCCTGGCTTGACATGAGCTCCTGGTTTCAGAAATCCTGAGGACACAAATGAAACAGTTTGACAAGCCAAGAACATTAAACTTGCCAGGCTGGGTCTCAGTCCTGCGTGACTCTCTCTGATGACATATTTTACAAAAGGAAGGTTATTTTTTGTAAGGAATTTCCTTACAAATTCTACCCTGAGAACCCCTAGACCTCAGATGCTATTTTATGAGATAAAAACTGAAATCAAAGTGGAAAATGTAAAAAAAAAAAAAAAAATCCTGGCGTATCAGCAACGCAAGAATAGTTCCCACTGCCTCTCTTATGTGCAGAGAGCCTGTGCTCCTGCTCTTTGAGGGACGGAAGCTGTAGATGTTGGTTCACAATACTGATTTTTTTTTCACAATACTGATTTCTTATAAATATCTGCTTGTGGATTCGACAGAGACCATGTGTGGAATGGTCAACAAAACGGTGAGGCCAGATTTTTCTCTCAGCTCTCACAGCAGAATTTCCTGCAACGTGTAGTAGATGCACTCTCCATGTGGGGAACTGGAGGAGACTGTGGATCAGTCTCTGTCACTGAGGGAAAGGGAAGAAATGAACATTTTCTAGGAGATGACTGGGCTGAACTGAGCCCCGAATGCTCTCAAAGCCCTGTGAGGTTGATGTTAGGATGTGCAATTGATCAGCAAGAGGAACAACATTCACTCTTGGAACTGGGAAAAGAAGGGACTAGGAATGTGAACCAAACCTGTTTCCTTCTTTGTGTAGATGATGGGCATACTCGTTCATGTGGGGGGATGTAATGTGGGTGCATTCATTGGGAGGTCAGAGGTCAACTTTGCACACCTTCCTCAATCACTCTCTACCTTACTCTTTGAGATAGGGTCTCTCACTGAACACATAGCTCACTGACTTCTACACTGGTCATCCACAAGCTTCAGGGAGATTTTCACACACATACACACACACACATACACACACACACACAAACACTCACCAATGCTGGGATTACAGAATGCTCCATACTGCTCCCAGCTTTTACATGGGTGCTCGGGATCCAAACTCAGACCTTCATGCTTGCATGGAAAGCAATCTACGTGCTGAGTCACCTCCAGAACCTCTGTCTCCTTCCCAACCCTTCCCTCACTCATCCTGTGTCCTGGGAAAGCTGGGTGGAGACTTACCATCTACATTGGGAGCTGCGTCTGATGCCTTGTCATAGAACACACCATGGGGTAAAATGCTGTAGACCTTGTCAGCTTTGTTGGCAAAGGTCACTAGCAGGGTGTCGCCCACCTCTGCCTTGATAACTGGACCTGGGAAGCCAAACAAGAGGATGAGAAGAGACAGGAGAAACAAATCAAGGTATTCTGAAGTGATGCCTACTCCCAGGTGAATATACCCCTCAACATCAGAATGCATATCCTGTACCAAGGATTCCAAGATGGTCCTGGGTCTCAGAAGGCATCTTTCTTCTACTGAAGGAGGCATCAACATATTCCGTGTAGCGAGCCTTCCAGTACTGTCCTCCTATTCTGTTTTCAGCTTGTGTGAAGTACGCTGCAGAGTCACTGGAAAAGACGGGGGAGTCTAAGAATCTATCCGGATTCATCTCCCAGATGCACTCATCACGGAACCCCATTTGCATCTGTTCCAGGGGACTGGACACCCTCTTCTGGCCTCCACAGGCACCAGGCTTGCACATGGTGCAGAAACATGCGTATAGGCAAAATACCTATACACATAAGACACAATTATTTGTTTATCAACTTGAAAAATACTGTGCCCCGAGACTGAAAACTAGGGAGGGGAAGGTTTCACTTAAGAGGCGACACTAGACTTGGGTTTCGAAGGAAAAGTGGACAGGGAGGAAAAGGACAGAGAGGCTGTGCAGCTTACACAAGCATCCCATTAGACATCTACGGCTTCTCTTTGTACAGAGTCGCCTTTTCCCCTGATTCTGCTCCACAGGGGCAACGGCCGTCCATTCTGTGGTGTAGTTTCTCAGATGGCCCTGACCACCATTGTTTGCACTTAAGACATTCTCAAGAAATGCCTGGTACACAAGTGAGCGAGTGAGTGAGTGAGCGTGTTAATGAGAGAGTGAATGAGCGAGCGTGTTAATAAATGAGAGAGTGAGTGAGTGTATTAATGAGTGAGTGAGTGAGCGAGTGAGTGAGCAAGCTTGTTAATGAATGAGAGAGTGAGTGAGTGAGCGTGTTAATGAGTGAGTGAATGAGTGAGCTGTTAATGAATGAGAGAGTGAATGAGCAAGTGTGTTATGAATGAGCAAGCGTGTTAGTGAATGAATGAGTGAGTGAGTGTGTTAATGAGTGAATGAGCGAGTTTGTTAATGAGTGAGTGAATGAGAAAGTGAACGAGTGAGTGAATGAGCGAGTGTGTTAATGAGTGAGTGAATGAGCGAGTGTGTTATGAATGAGAGAGTGAATGAGCAAGCGTGTTAATGAATGAGTGAGTGAATGACAGTGAATGAGTGAATGAATGAGTGAATGAGTGAACATATTAATGAATGAGAGAGTGAAGGAGTGATAAGTGAATAGCACTTTGGATAAATGAATTAATCTGTGAGTGAGTGAATGAATAATTGAATGAGTGAGCAAATGAGTGAGTTAGTGAATAAGTGAGCATGTTAATGAATGAGTGAGTGAACGAGTGAGCATGTTAATGAACGAGTGAGTAAATAAGTGAGCGTGTTAATGAATGAGAGTGAAGAAGTGAGTGTGTTAATGAACGAGTGAGTTAACGAGTGAGCGTGTTAATGAACGAGCAGACAATGAATGGAAAAGTGAATGAATTGTGAGTGAATGAATGAGTGATAAGTGAATATCACTTCGGATACATGAATCAGTGAATCACTGAATCTTGAACAAGGGAGCGGATGGGTGTTTCTAGAGTTTTGATTTAACCAGCAATCGCGGATCACTGCTTTCCCATTTCTCTGCAGCCTGCGCCTTCTGAACAGAAGCAGAGCAGGAGTGGGTGGGGGGAAGCGTAGGTGATTCATTTATTTTTTAATTAACAAAATAAATTTAATTAAATAAATTAATTTAAAAAATGAGGATTCTACAAGCTATGACATCATAATGTCTGCCATCGGAAACATAGTGAGTTAGACCACAGGGACAAGTCTATTGCACACCTCTCTGGAGAGGAACTGGAAACACCAGCAGAGTTCTCACCTGCCAGATGCATTCAGAGGAAACCCGGTGAACTTATCATAGCCTTGGGGAGCATAATCCCAAAGGACCTTTTCTGCTGCTATGAAGTAGTGTCTCTGCTGACCCTGCATCTTCAGGTGAGGGACATTACTTCTGCAGTTACCCACGTCGTACTGGCCCAGCATACCAGCTGCGGGTGGAAGAAACACAGGCCTAGGCGTGGTTAAGATGCTCAGGAGAAACTCACAGAGTTGACTTCGTCAGCATTTGAAACTTTTATACAGAAAACTGGATGACAGACAACATTAGCAAGACAGGATAAATGGTGTGGGGGAGTTTTTAATGCATTTAAATGAAATGAATATTAACAAATTAAAGTTAATTATTCTAAACATAAAGAAAAAAGTAAATCCCCAGTAGACAATTGGCAGGGTACAGAACTGGGTTCTTCAGGAAAGAAGTAACAGCCGTCAGTAAACAAATGGAAAAGTTTCTGTCTTAACTGTACTTATGCGGCACCATTGTTCGTGGATAGGATTGATAGCATCTAAGACTTGTAATTCCCAGGGTTGTCAGACGGGTGGATGGCGGACGTGCTCTCATGCTGTGGGTGGGTGAGTAACAGTGTCTGACAGGGAATTAAGCAGTGTGTCTGAAGCTTTAAAATAAAAAAAAAAATCCAATTCTGATCCAAGAATTCCAAATCCAGGATAAGAAAACAAATCTGTAACTCCTTACAGCAAAAAGGAGAGAAAGCAGAAATGCTGAGTGTCAGAGCAGCGGTGAGGCCAGCAGCGGACTTGTGATGCTGGAGGCATCAACACTGATGACGTCACCCTGCTCACTCACAGGGAAGCACGGCCACAAAAGGCTGATGAGGAGGAAAGCAGCTGCAGGAAAGTGGAAACAGAGCAGCTTTATCTCACCAAGTATAGAGCTATCTCTAGATGGGGCCGTTGGTTAGAAAACTCAAATTACAGGAGCTGGAGAGAGGGCTCGGTGGTTGAGAGCACTTGCTGCTCTTGCAGAGGACCCAGGTCTGGCTCCCAGCACCCATCTGTGGCACACATCTGCCGATAACCCCAGTTGCAAGGGGTCCAACTCCTTTCTCTGGTCTCCGTGAGCATTCTGTGCACATGGTTCACATGCATACATGCAAGCAAAACTCATACACATAAAAAAGAAATAATCTTTTTAAAAGATAATCACATAAATTTATGCTTCATGATAATATTTTCTGAGGGAATGGGCAATTCAGTAAATATTTTATATTGGTCACTATATCAATACCCATTTATGGCTACAACTGCCAGCTAGACCAAGCTGCCATATTAGTTTCACATGGCGATTGTTGTCTTGTTTTAGATCTAAATTTGGAATTCATACACGAGAAAGTTTCTTCCCAAATTTAGGAGCATGTGCAACATTATTAGCAACCTGGGGACTGGAGATATGGCTCAGCAGTTAAGTGTACTAACTGCTCTTGCAGAGGACCCAGGTTCAATTCCCAGCACCAACGTGGTGGCTCACAGCCATCTTTAACTCTCATTCCAGAGGATATGACCACCCCTTCTGACCTCTGTTGGCACCAGATACACACATGGTAGATAGACATGCATGCAAGCAAACTCTCATATACATAAAAATAAAATAAAATCAGCCTCAAACTATTTTTTAAAAGAAGACTAGGAGCCTGTCTTGTCCATCTGGTCTTTCCATACTGTTATGCAGAACTTATTCACTGGGCTGGGTGTAGCTGGAAAAACCCAGATGACTGACCCCAGGACCCGCTGCGGAAGGGTAACGGGAACAAGAAAGTGTTATCAGTATCACCCAAATGTCAGGACGCTCGCTATTAGCATCTGCGTGTGGTAGTAGCATCCACATTGAACCAGACTTTATTCATCCGGTGAAGGCGTAAGTCACAAAGCAATACCACACCATGCTGCGGGAGCTCCTTCCGCTCCTTCAGCAATCTGGGTCTATGTCACTAGCATCTGTTTTTCTTCCTGTTTTCACCATCTAAGATCAGGCCTTTTGTGTAGTATAACTCTGCTACTGGTCCCTGGCTGGTGCAGGGGCCAGAGTTTCCCGCTGGGGTACATTCTGCGTGTGTACGGTGATCGTCCCAAGCCACTGTACTGACCACAGCAAAGCCCCAGAGTGCCTGGGGGTGTGGATGTCACACCTGGTGTAGACACCTGTCAGCCTCTCAGCCTGGCCATTTAAGTCCCTTCCTGCAGGGTCATCTGCCTTCCTAGTCTCTCTTATGGTCCTTTGTCGCAAACCTCACAGGAAGTGAGACACACTGTGGGTTGTCTCCAGGAACCGAGACCAGGACATCCAGCAAGCACATAAGTCAACATTTTTTTTCTTTTTAGAATCTGCCTGCGCTGAGCACAGAACGGTATCTGCCAGTGGAATTTTGTCTCAGTATAAAGAATGTTCCACCAGAGCCGTGCAGAGCTGAGCTGAGCTGACACAGCACTTACGATGTTCCGGAGGAAACTCAAGAACTGGGTGGGGATGAAGCCTGAGCACACACGGACTCTCCCTCCATCCACTCACTCCCTCCCCACACATCTAGGCTCAGCTTAGGAGTTCACTCCCCAGAAGCCCCGCAGACTGCTCTACAGGAGCGAGCAGCGCACCCACTGGGAGTTCACGTTGTCCACACTGTGCACTCTGTAAGTATCTGTAAGTATCCTGTAAAGTTCCAGATTATTCTTACGGACATTATTAATAAACACCTGTAGGGGGTGCTAAACAAATGCACACTGTGTTTTTGAAGATACTAAATAGTCAAGTAGGTGCAATTAATGTGGGAATCTACTCAAGCGCACAGTGACGAGGTGACCTGCCCATGCCAAGCCTCTCCACACAGTCTCCATCCATTTTTTACCTTGTAGATGGTCACTGACTTGGCAGGTTATCATCCATTTCCCTGGATTCTCCACTATCATCTCCGTGGTGAGGAAGGTGGCTGGAAACAGGTTGACAACATCTGCCCGGTGCCCTCTGGTGATGAAGGTGTTACCATAAAAATAGATGGAATGGATGTCTATCTCATTCCCCATCCCAAACAGGTGCCAGGACACAGATTCACCAACACACATCTCAGGCTCGGGGAAGTTTCCAAAAAGGAATCCATTGAGGGCTGCAAACACAAACACACCAGTGGAAGACACTCCCCTGCAGACGTGATCAGGACCGAAGCCTTGGCAGGATACTCACCAGCAAGGCTGGACAGTCAGCGTGGGTCATTGCTATAATGTTTTCCTGCAGCAATCTCCAACCTGGAAGAGTCTCACTACTCATGGTGTGAGAACCAGTGAGTGAGCGCTCAGCCCTAAATGGGGCATCTGCATCAACCCTGCCCTGAAAAGTCTCAGGAAACATTGTGACGAAGGAAGGGGTTGGGAAGAACTTAAGAGTGGGGGGATAGGGAAGGCTGCTGTGGAGTGCTGGCTTCTTCATGTGGTATGCCTGCTGCCCTCACGACCTTACGGCATCTGTGGTTACCTGGACAAGATGAAGCCAGTTAAAAATCCCAGCATAGAGAAGGGAGGGACTCAGGAGTGTCTGAGGTATAACTGGCATCTGGTAGGTGCTGAGAGACAGGAAGTCACTTTTCTTTGGAAGAATAGTCATTGATAGGGTGGCCATGGCCCACTGGGTGGCCATGGCATGCTCAGGCACATATGGACAGTATCAGTTGGACTCAGTAGGTTAAAAATTAAAAAAAAAAAAACAACAAGATTTAAAATGAAGTTATGAGGCCAGGACAGAGATGTGACAGAGGCCTATGGAGCAGTAAGTAGGGGAGATACAATCAAGATACATTGTATACATGTATGAAAATTTGAAAGAATAGACTAAAGTATTATTTTGGGGGCTAGAGAAATGGTTCAGCATTTAAGAGCACTTCTGGCCTCCTCGGGCACCAAGCACAGACATGCATGCAGGCAAAATACATACACATTTAAAAAACAAAAACAAAAACTATAGTTTCTAACACGGTAATGACTCAGACAACATCATTTATTCTAAGTCATTTTAGTGAATTTAAATTAATTGATCGATGAACCTTGTACTGATTTAACACCTTTTATAGATCAGTTTCTCCTCCAGTTATTTCTTCTATACTTGGCGTGTCTCCTTGCTAGGATTAACTGTTTGCAGACACCACTTCTTCACACAGGCTGCTCTTTATTCTAAAAGTAAGTTAGTTTTGCTTACACAATTCATTTCTTTGTGGGGCGGATTTCACTACAGAAGAATAAGTCCTGAATGGTGGGGGAGGGGCTGCACAGGTAGCTGAGTCGAACTTTTTGATTTTCTACAGTGTTTGGGGTCTCATCCCCAAGTTCTGAAGAACGGAGCTAAAACTGGTAATGCTTTCCACTCAAGTCCTGTTTTCGTGGCTTCCTGTTCTTTTCTTCTCCTTCCTTTCCTTCCCTCCTAAAACATTTGCCAAGCACCACTGCATACAAGATTGATGAAGTCACCACAGAGAAGATGGATGGCGAGTTATACAAGAGGGAACATGTGTACTGATGTGGTCCTGCCTGACTGTGTGTTAGAAGCAGAGGCAGTCAAACGGAAATGCATCGACTGTGGACCTTCTTGTCTGGGCTCTCCTGGGCAGATCTCTGCCCTGGCCTCAGTCCGCCACTGATGGTCTTGACTCAGACTCTGACCCCATTACATACTGCAGCTTCTTTCTTTTACAACTGAGTGTACCCAGGTCTGGTGTACAGCGAGTGCTTACTAAATCTTGATGATTTAAAGAATGCCCAGGAAACAACAAATTCACAAGTATGCATTGAAACTCCATGCACAGCATAGTTCTGACAATTTCACAACGGCTTGGAAGATAGTTGTTGGATAAGCAGAGAGTTGTTATGTGGTGAGATTTTATTCTCCCTCTGACAGCCTCAACACACCCATCCTCGGGGCTTACCTCGGTGCTTAGGCCCTTCCTGATTATAAGGTTCCCTTCTGTTTTCTGTACTGTCTTGTCAGTACAATGTAGCACTTGTCTACTTAGTGTAGCTGGTGTACCTGGCCTTGTCCTGCCTCAGATCATTGGGATTCAAGGTGTGCTGTATCTTACGTCACTTTCAAACCACTGTCTTCCCAGTCTACACCACCTCGCAGAATGAGGTCCAGGTTCCCATCTGTCTTGCTTCCCTCAAGTCCCTCACCATGCAGAAGCCCCGCTGTGCATCTGAGCTCACGGCAAACACTCACCATGCATCTTATTGCTCCTCTGGAAAACAGCGTCAGTCTTATCAACGGAATTCGGCTCAGTGCAGAAATGCCTGATGTTTTCGTCCAGGTACCAGCTCTGGTTCTCATCCACAAGAGTGAACATGATGACAAACTCTCGGTCCACATCGGTCCTCATCCCTGAGTACCTGTTCAGTACACCTTCCAGGAACACCGGAAGAGTGAAGGAAAAGCAATTAGACATCAACTAAACCCAAGTGAGGCGTCCCTCCTGCCAACAGTGTCCAGTAAGCTTGATAGGGGTAAATCTGAATAACCCACATCCTACAACATGCACGCAGAAGCCAGCTCTAGCAAATGACAGGACTGTAGAAGAGTCCCAAGGCTTGAGCAATGTGGACTTGGAGGCCTGGCTGCCCCCTGAGGAACAACTGTAGGCAGCACAGACCCTCGTGGAATCAACAAGAGCAAACGGAAGGTAGCGCTGGTCATTGACTACATTGTTCGCTCTCCGACCTGTAGCTGATGGAATTTTATGTTTATTAAACAGAACTCTGCCGTGATTGGCAACAAGTGTCTGAACTGTCTGCTCTGCGATAGGGTCAGCATGACCTTCCACATGCCCTAAAGAGAGAATAGTGGAAGACACACATCCTATTTGAAGGAAGAAAGGTAGCGAAGCAAGACCTGAATCTAATGCACAGTTTCAACATCCCCCTCCCATTTCCAGGGAAGAAGCTTTCGGGGGTGGGGGGACTGCCTACCTTCCTTACACACCAGCAAGGGTCCAATTAGCCCAGAGCAAATGTCCTTAGGGGCATCGATGTGCGAGTGGTACACCCAGGTCAGGCAGTTGGCATCTGCTGGGGCGGGTGCGTACTCTTCTCTCACCGGCCAGACATAGGTGTAGTTCTGGCCAGGGGGGACCATGTCATCATCCTTGTTCTTTCCAGATGTCCCATCTGGGTATAAGGCTCCTTTCAACCAAAAAAGAAAAGACGCTATTAAAACCCAAAGAGTTGACGCTACAGCAGAGAGGGCAGAACTTTCAAGTCGAATATAAGTGAGTTTCGGTGCATTTGCTGGGGAACTTGAGGAAGCCTGCTGCGTTCTTAGTGCCTGGGTCCCGCCAGCCAAGCAAGAATGCTGAGGTCTTACACCCACAAAGACAGGAGAGCTCAGCAAGGAATCGCGGACAGATCGCTTCTCCCAGAAACACAGACTTCTGAATAAAGATGCTGTGGATCCTGCTGCACCCATCTGAAGCGGTTCAGGTCTCCTTACTCGCCATTGTCGTGAGACGAGACAGGCAAGCAGCGAAGGAAACAGTGAGCACTGCTTGGGGACTTATTACAGATCCGCCCCCCGTGTGGGTGGCACAAGAGATGACAAAGGGGGGTTAGGGTTCTCCTGGCTTCCAAAGATATTACCATCTTGTGGGACAGAGTGGAGTTTGTGTTATGAACACGTGCTCAGCTGGAGAATAAAGCAAAGTACTGCGAAGAATGTAATTTTGGATGATTTTGAAGGCTGTGTCTTTGAAGCTGAATATATCAAAGTTCAAGAAAACAAAACATTCTATACACATGTAAACATAAAAATTGTTAGCAAAGCATCAGCAGACCAATATTTAGACATTTAAGACATTTACTATTTCATGGACAAATAAGATTTATCCTCATGATGCTGCGGGAGCTCCTTCTGCTCCTTCAGCCAATAGCCTTTGAGATACCAGCCCACTGGGGCTTGATATCTTTGACTTTAAGAAAGCTGTGGCAGCCCTCCACTCTCTCTCTTGCTTCGGACTCTGCTTCTGGCTACCAGATGCTTTTCCTGGTTGTGCAGGAGGCTGTTGTCTGGGACGGTGATCTGTAAGTTTTTCCCTTTAAATAAATAACCTTTTTATTAATCATAATTCCAAACTGGTGTGGGATTGTTTTGTGACTTACTCCTTGACATGATATCAAAGTTGCAAATCAATTAATGGAACATATAGATGGATTCAAGGGCAAATATCATAGTCGCCTCAAAAGAAACAGAAATGAATCCAATGGCATCCAGGACTCTTCAAAAACTCTCAGCCACCTGGGAGTAGAAGACTTCTTCCTCAACTCAATAAAGGCAACTAAGAAAACTTCACAGCCGGCATCAAGCTTAAGGAAAAGCAATGGCTTTCTTTCAAAAACTGAGAACAAGATGAGAATGGCCACTCTTGACACTACTATCATTAAATATTATCCCCAAGCTTTGTTAGTATAATAAGGAAAGGAAAATTAAATCCATATAGGTTGTCAAGAACAGGGTTAAATTGTCTTTATTTATGATGATGCTGCATTTTCAAGTTACAGGGAACAGTTAAACCAGAGAAGGAAGACCCACGCTCAACACACAACATCAACTCTGTTTCTAGACACGACCAAGAAACCATCCAAAAGAGAAGAAAGAAAAAAGAAAGAGAAAGAACAAAAGAAAGAAAGAGAATGAAAGAAGGAAGGAAGGAAGGAAAGAAAAAAAGAAAAGGAAAGGAAAGAAAGAAAAGAAAAGACACGTCAAATAGGACGCTTAGCAAGAGGCCCTCTCAGTGTGGACGCAGAACTGAAGACCCTGCTGGGAGTCATTGAAGCTCCCGACTCCTGCTCATTTCTGTCTACCATCAAGACATCAAGTCACTATTTCCCATTTTATATGGGCCTTTTAATTTATGTACTTATTTAATTTTAAATTAAGTTATTTTTTTAGAAAAAATTATTTTAAATTATTAAAAAATAAGTTTAAATTGTTTTAAATAAATTTATTTTTAAATTAAATTAAAATTAAATAAAACTTTCAGTTGTGACATTCACATACACACACCTGCCCCTATTGTCCTCATCCTCCTCCAGAGTGCTCCCCTCTGCCTTCCTGTCACCAGGATTCCATCATCCTCTTTTTTCTCTAGATCTGCTAAGGTCTCTTCTTCCCTCTTATGCTCCCCTCCCCAGGTTTACAGTCCACACCCCCTGCACACACAGGTACATACACACATGGAATAAATCTCAGTTGGCCATAGAATGTTCAATATTTTAAATATTGCTGGATCAGCCTAGGATCCACATGTGAGGGAAAACATGAAGAATTTGTCTTTCAGAATCTGGCTTGTTTTACTTAACATGGTGATGTCCAGTTGCATCTGTTTTCCTGCAAATAGTATAATTTCATTTTTACTTACCGAATCAGATCCAATTATTTAATTTAGCATTTTCCTTATCTATTCACCTGTTGGGGAGTATCTAAGCTGTTTTTTGGGTCTTAAATTTTGTGTAATTCTTTTTAAAGGAAAGGCGGTGATTTCTTCTTCATTGATCAATAAGTTTATGTAATCTCCATAAAAAAATTACCCTAGCTGCCTTGTTTAAATGAAAAGTATATACAATAACCAAAATCTCTTTTTTAAAAAAGAATAAAGCTGAAGGAGTCATAATAGTATTCATTTTTAAATTTTACTGTAAATACTCAATAAGCAAGAAAGTATACCTGGGTGGTGGAGGAACACACCTTCAGTCCCAGAACTTGGGAGGTAGAAGCAGACAAATCTCTGAGTTGGAGGCCAGCCTGGTCTACAGAGCTAGTTACAGGACAGTCAGGACTACACAGAGAAACCCTGACTCAAAAAACCAACAAAAAAAGAAAGAAGGGAGGGAGGGAGGGAGGGAGGGAGGGAGGGAGGGAGGGAGGGAGGACAGTATTGGTGCAAAGATAAATATAGATCAATAGAGCATATTGAGACCCCCCAATTGAACCCCTTTCTCTTAAGCTCACTGATGTTTGAAAACAGTCTGTGACACACTCATCTCTTGGTCCTACTGGGGACTTGATCAGACATCTGTAATAAGCTATGTACTGTTGTGAGCAAAACTGAACTGAGCCTGGTCGTAGGACTGTGCATGCCTATAATCCCTACACTCGTGATGCTGAGGCAGGAGGATCCCTGCCAGTTCAGACTGGCCTGGACTACCAAACAGCACAATTTAAAAGAGAGAGAGAGAGTCAATCAAGGGCCCATAATCACATGGAGAGAGGGCCCGGCTATTGCACTGAGTTTTAACAGAGCCCTGGCAGGTTTGGGGCTGACTTGTTACACTGGTGTACAGGAAGGGCAAGGCAAGAGACTAGTGCACAGTGATGGGGGTGGGGGCACAGGCGGCCTCCATCAAGCACAACTCGACGGATGCCATCTCCACACATTTCTCATGGATCTTGATTCCCCGGAGAAGGCTTCCTGAAGAAGGGACCTATGGAGGATTTCAGTGGTTCTAGCAATACCTTGACCTGAGTTCAAACCAATCTGAGTCAGGAGCTCATGACCTTCAGAGATGCTCTGAAGGTTTGTGATATAAACAAAAATATATTTTTACTGCACATGCACACATACACACATTGCACATGTAGCCCAGGCTAACCTCAAATTCACCATTTGTCTAAGCTAGCCTTGAACTCCTGGTCCTCCTACCTCTACCTCCAAGGTGAAGCATTACACAGGTACACCACCTTTATGAGGTGTGTACTGTTGTGCCCAGATCATGACCCCCAGAGAGAGAACACCAGAGAGGCCCAGACAGTAATAAGCAAGGTTTAATCAGCATAATACAAACATGTTTGGAACTCATCTCCATCCCCGTTACAACAAGGTAGAGAGGAGTTGTATCTCCTCTGTGGGGTAAGCTTTTAAAGGCATAACTACAAAGAGAATCTTTGAAGATGCTTCGGCACGGATACAAGGACTTTTGCTCCCTCACATTCTGTTAAGTCAGCTTTTCCTTGTTTTTAGAGCAAGGCCACTGTTCTTGAGTTAGGCCATCTTTATCAGCCTATACCAGGTGGCTGACTGGGCTGAGCTAAGTGACCTTGTGCTCAGAATATCCTGGGTGGGAGAGGGGAAATCCACTATCTTCCTGGGAAAACATTCTGCTAGGAAATTTCTTCTTGCCCCTTTGAGAATAAGGGGTGAGGGTCTCACATGTACACCACCTTTTTGAGGTACTAGAGACAAGAGAGTGCGTCTCTAGTCAGCTGAGCTACATACCTGGTCATGTGGTATTGTATATGCTATGGCCCATGATCATTATCAACTTGACAGAATTTCGGGAGACACACCTGTGGACATGCCTGTGAGAAGTTATCTTAACTGGGTAAACTGAGATATCTAAAAGTGGGTGGCACCATTGCATGGTGGACCTGGAATGTCCCTAATGTCGAAGACTTGTTCTCCTGAGGGAAGGTGGTGATCCTTTGGTGGAGCTGAGCAGAGCCTAGTGGGAGGTCTTGAGGTCACAGTGGATTGTGAGGGTACAGTCACAGGTCACCGGAGGGGACAGTGAACTCGATTCTTTCCTCCTGTCTTTCCTGGTCTCGCCCATGAGGAAATGGTTTTAGCAGGCCACATGCTCCCTACAGGGATGT